CAGACTTTTACTCTCCCTAGAAGGTAGCTTAAATTGCTCCAGTTTCTCTCTGTTTCTGTTCCATTTCTGCTTCCAACTTAGCAACATCTTCACTGAGTTGTTTCCTCCTCTTTTTGTCATTTTTCAGAACAGCATTCTTTATACCTTGAATTTTGGCTTGCAACTCCTCCTTCTCTTTGTAATGCCTCCTCATCAACTGCTCCTCTTGATCAACCCCTTCTGCTGAGACTCTAGATATTTACATTACTTACGAAGTGACCATCCTGATAAATCTAGTAGCCATCTGGCACCATACATAGTTATTACAATATTATTTACTATATTCCCTGTGCTGTACTTGACTTTTTTTATAACTGGCAATTTGCACATTTAAATCCCTTCCCATTTTTTCATCCATTCCCCCAAGTCTCCTCCCATCTGGAAACCATCAAAATATCTTCTGTATCTATGAGTTTGTTTCTGTTTTGTTTATTCATTTATCTTACTTTTTTTAGATTCCACATATAAGTGAAATCATATAACATTTGTCTTTCTCTGACTCATTTTACTTAGCATAATACCCTCTAGGTCCATCTGTGCTGTCGAAAACGGCAAGTTATCATTCTTTTTTATGGCTGAGTCATATTCCATCTTCTTTATCGATTTGTCTGTCAGTGGGTACTTAGGTTGCTTCCCTATCTTGGCTATTGTAAATAATGCTGCAGTGAACATAGGGATGCAAATGTCTTTTTGAGTTTGTGTTTTAGCTTTCTTAGGATAAATACCCAGAAGTAGAATTGCTGGGTCCTTCTTTGTCTATTGTAATAGCCTTTGTTTAAGTATCTGTTTGTTTGATATAAATATTGCTACCCCAACTTTTTATTCGTTTCCATTTGCATGAAATATTTTTTTCTATCTCTTTATTTTCAATTTTTGTTTGTCTTTTGACCTGAAGTGGCACTCCCATAGACAGCATATGTTTGGGTCTTGTATTTTTATCCATTTGGCCATCCTATGGCTATTGATTGGACCATTAATCCATTAACATTTAAAGTAATTATTGATAGCCCTGGCTAGTGTGGCTCAGATGGTTGGAGTGTTGTCCCATACCAGCGAAAGCTTCCAGCACCCCCTTGAAAGCTTGAGGTTTCCATTCCCGGGCAGGGCATATACTAGTACCTAGGTTTTGGGTCTGGTCCGGGGTTAGAGAATGTATGAGAGGCAACCAATCATTATTTCTCCCTCACATCAGTGTTTCTCTCTCTCTCTCTCTCTCTCTCTCTCTCTCTCTCTCTCCCTCCCTCTCTCTCTCTCTCTCTCTCTCTCTCTCTCTTCCCCTTCTCTCTAAAAAACTGTAAAGTAATTAATAGGTATGCAGTTATTGCTATTTTATTATTTATATTTCTTATCTTATTTTTTGTAAAAACTGATTTGGTAGTGATGAACTTCTTTAACTGTTTCTTATCTGGGAAGCTCTTTATTTGTCCTTCAATTCTATATGATAGCCTTACTGAATAGAGGAATCTTGGTTGCAGGTTCTTCCTTTTCCTCACAGTGAATGTTTTATGCTAATTCCTTCTGGCCTTCAAAGTTTTTGTTGAGAAATTAGCTGACAATCTATGGGAGCTCCCTTTGTAGGTCACTAAGTGCCTTTTTCTTGCTGCTATCTATCTATCTATCTATCTATCTATCTATCTATCTATTTATTTATTGTTAATCCTTACCGGAGGATATTTTCCTATTAATTTTAATCAATTAATTATATTTTTTTGTTAATCCTCACCTGAGGATATTTTTCCATTGATTTTTAGAGAGAGTGGAAGGGATGAGAGAGATAGATATAGAGAGAAACATCGATGTGAGAGAGCCACATCCATTGGTTGCCTCCTGCACGTGCTCAAACCAGAGCCACAGATAGAACCTGCAATCGAGGTACGTGTCCTTGACTAGAATAGAACTGGGACTCTTCAATCTGCAGGGCTACGCTCTATCCACTGAGCCAAACTGGGTTCTTTCTGCTTTTAAGATTTTATTTTCGTCTCTAACCTTTGTCATTTTCATTCTGATGTATGTTAGTGTGAGTCTGTTTGGTTTCACCTTTTTTGGGACTCTGGACTTCCTGCACTTGTATCTATTTCCTTTGCCAGGTTAGGGAAGTTTTCCATCATTATTTCTTCAACTAAGTTGTCATTTCTTTGCTCTCTCTCTTCTCCTTCTAACACCCCCATGATGCGAATGAATGTTGGTACACTTGAGGTTGTTCCAGAGGTCCCTTAAACTATCCTCATTTAAAAAATTCTTTTTTCTTTTTGCTGTTTTGATTGGGTGTTTTCTGCTACCCTACTTTCCAAATAGCTGTTCTGTCATCTGCTTCATCAAATTTACTGTTGATTTAATCTAATTTATTCTTTACTTTTAGTGATTGTATTCTTCATTTTTTACTGGTTCTTTTTTTATGTTTTGTTTCCGATTTTTATGTTTCTTATCTCTTTGTTAAAGTTCTTACTGAGTTCATCTACTCTTCCCCTACATTCATTGAACATTCTTATAACCAGTGTTTCAAACTCTGCATCTGGTAGATTATTTGTCTCCATTTAGTTTAGTTTTCTTTAGTTTCCTCCTGTTCTTTCATTAGTGACATGTTTCTTTGTCTCCTCATTTTGGCTGCCTCCCTGTGTTTGTTTCTATGTATTAGGTAGATGTTTCATGTTTCCAGGCTTGATAGAGTAGCCTTACGTACTAGGTGTCTTGTGAGGTCCAGTGGCACAGTCTCCCAGGTCACATGAGTTAGGTGCTCCCTTGTGTGGGTTTTGTGTGTCCTTCTATTGTAGTTGAGTTTTGATTGCTGTTGGCACTTCAGTGGGAGGGATTTACCCTCAGGCTGAATGGCTATGAGGAATGGTCATGATTACATCAGAGATGCTGTTGTGCAGGGGTTGACCCCATGGAGCAAGATTTATGTTAGTGGGGCTCTAGTGCCTGCTGAGTTTGCCCTTTGGCAAGTCATTTGTAGAGGAGATTGGGTGGTCTGTTGTGGTCTGAAGTTAGTCACTGGGTATGTAGATTCTGGCGCCTCTTGGGATGGTCTCTGGTGCAGGCCAAGGTCAGCCCCTGCCTATGCCATTCTGGGGCCACATGGTATGGGCTACAAAGTGATCTGCAAATGGTTGCTACTTGTGTTTGGCTTGGAGGTGCCTGGGAGAATCTAAGCTGCCATCTAAGGCTGGCTGGCACTAGTGCTGGGCTTGGGCCTTGCTTAACAAGAAGAATGGGGTACTCTGAGGCCAGCCACTGCTTGTTAGGGGTTTGTGAACCTTTGAGAGATTTAGGAAAGTCCCCAGCGCTAGCTGAGACAGGCTATTTAAATGGAAAAGTGGCTTGAGTTGGCCCACAAGTTGTGTGGGGTGGCATCTCAGAGATCAACAGGCAGGGCATTAGCCAGGTTGATGGATACTCAGACTTGGCACTGGCCTTTACCTCTAGGCTAGGTGGAGGGGGCTCAACAAAGGAACAGTGGCATCTGCCAGCACTTCTGCCTGAGAGAAAGCTGCTCTTCTAGCCCTTGCTTTGAAGCCAGACTGTTCAGTTCCTTCCTGTATGTCCCTGGTGCTTTTTGAGTTGCTGCCCCCCAGTACTGCTACTCAAGAGCAAGTGAGTCAGTGAGTAAATCTGTGCACAGGCCCTTTAAGAGGAATGCAATGGTTTTCACAGCCACAGGTTATGGGACTTCTCTTCCTGGCATTGGAACCCTAGGCTGGGGAGCCTGGTATGGGGCTGGAACCCCTCACTCCTCAGGAGGGACCTCTGCAGCTGAGTTATCCTTCCTGATTTTTAACTGCCACACATGGGTGTGGGACTCGCCCGTTTTGCATCTCCACCCCTTCTACTGGTCTTGATGTGGCTTCTTCTGTATATTTTTAGTTATAGAATTTCTGTTCAGCTAGTCTTCAGGCGGTTCTCAATGATGGTCATTCCATAGTTTAGTTGTAATTTTGATGTGGGTGTGGGAGGAGGTGAGAGCACTGCATATACCTACTCTGCCGTTTTGACTGGAAGTCTTACTTGAGAAATTTTTAATTAAAAGGAAAGATTTAAGCATTTTTGCTTTCCCAGTTAGAATAACTATCATCAATTGGTTGCCTCCTGTATATTAGGGTTATTTTTCTTTGTAGGATGATAATAATACAGAAAGTGATGAAAATTATAAAATCACCATATTTACAGAGAAGTAAGCAAGTATTTTCAGTGAATACTAAAACCATCATGTGAACATAGTATTTTCTTGGTGCCTAGATATCCCTGCAATATAGAAACATATCTTCTTAGATTCTCAGGGGCATCTTTCTGGAAAATAGTCAAAAAGTAAAAGCATCTCACTGATGGGTAAAATAATATTTTTTCAGTACAGAGAAATATTAGTAAGGAATGTGGGGTGTTTTTTTTTTGTTTTTGTTTTTTTTTGTCAGAGGTTTTGAATAGTTGCTCAAGGCCTGAGGTTTGAGTTTTTAAGTGTTGGAATGTGAAACCTTGTTTTTTTTGGAAAATATACTAAGGGTTTTATTTTGTTAAAGGCAAGTATATTTGAATTCTATATGATTTATATCGGTGATCACTGGAGGTGATGGTTTTCCACTTTGCCCAGACATTGTTTTATTAAATTCATTGTTGATGATTTATAGTCACATGGGAGAAATTAGGATTCTCTATTTTATATTTTTCCTTAGTGTAATCATCAAATAGGATGTCTAAAACAAATTTAACCCTAAATTTTGATCTGAATGTATCACAAGTAGGATTTAACAAAAAAATTTGGTTGCATGTACTTTTTAAAGGAAATAGACAGATACTGTATCAAGATTTTATAAAATTGAAATTACACCTTTTGTCATGTGTCTTCCTGATTTAAAAGAGGAAACTTTAGACTATTCTTTTTTAAGCCTGTGAAAAGTTTTTCAGTCCTTATTATCGTATACCTATTACTTTCTGCAAGATGAATAAATTGTTAATTTGTTGTTTCCTAGGAGGAATACAGAGCTGAAGGTATCAGCTGGCACAATATAGATTATATAGATAACACCTGTTGCATAAATCTTATTAGCAAGAAACCAACAGGACTGCTCCATCTTTTAGATGAAGAAAGCAAGTGAGTATAATTCTTTTCCATTTTGTCACAGGCCATTTGGGCTTTTCATGCATAAGTCCTAATCTTTCTTCTTACACTATCAAAAGCATTGTGTGTGTGTGTGTGTGTGTAGGAAAATTGTATGGACTTCACTATTATAGAACTCATTTAAATATGTTTTTCCATATTTCTTCTACAGAGTTACGTTGATGTTAAATTTGTTGTGTGTTTCTCTTTTCTTGAATCAAGTTATATATGTGAGATGTGTTTGCTGTTTTCATGTTTAGTAGAAGATGTATCATGATAGATTAGTGATACTGCCATAACTGTGCAGGTGGTAAGTGGCAATATATGCCAAATATTTACCATCCTTTGTTAATACTGTTCAGTATACTAAACTTATCTATAAGCTTCAGAAATAAAGCTTCACACGGCATCCTCCAGAGCATTCTCAGTGCTCTATAAAGTATTATTTATAGTTAAATTATGCTAAGAGATGGCAGATTTAGAATTGGAGAAACTGAAGTGATGGAGAATGTGGGGGTTTTTTATTTTAAGTAAAATATTTGGAAATTAAATAAGATCACCTGGTACCTAGCTTAATATTATACCCATTAAACTAGGATATAAAATATTGGGGCTTTATTATAGGTAGGATGTTCATACATCATGTTTGTGTGGACAGTCTAAAGTTTATGACTGTTGTCTAGTTTAGTTATTAAAGGTACCTAATTTTACCCTCAGAATACCTGGTTTGTATAGTAAGTTATATGTCAACCTATTGATAAGCCATAAACACAAAGAATGGCTGTATAGAAATACAGAGTAATTATGGCAGAATGAAAAATATATTGGAAAGGAGACTGCAGACAGTTACAGCTAACCTCTGTATTACTAGACTATTTACATCAATCTAAATGGATTAAAATGTAGTTATTACAAAAATATTATAATTTCATGGCCACAGTTGTGTAAAAGTTTTTTGTTTTGCCTATATGCCCTGAAACATATATTATCTCTTATAAAATTGTAAGGTAGTGGTTCTTAACTCTGCTTGTGTACCTTTACTGCTGGTATATTTTCTTTTGAAAGCTTCATAAGTAGTTTTTTAATTCTCATCCAAGGATACGTTTTTATTGATGAGAGAGAGAGAGAGAGAGAGAGAGAGAGAGAGAGAGAAACATCAATTGGTTGACTCCCATGTGCCCCCCTTCTCCCCCTTCCCTTCCCCTGTATGTGCCTTGACTGACTAAGTGACACTGGCCACAGCCATAGGTAGTTTTTTTGTTTGATTTTCATCTTTATTTTTTTAATTTAAATTCTTTATTGTTTAATGTATTACATAAGTCTCCTTTTCCCCCCATTGACCTCTCCCCGGCCACCCCCACCCCCAGCAAATGCCCTCACCCACCTTCCCCCGTGTCTGCGTCCATTGGTTTTGCTCATATGCATGCATACAAGTCCTTTGGTTGATCTCTTACCCCCTAACCCCCTGCCTTCCCTCATAGGTTGGATAGTCTGTTCGATGCTTCTATGACTCCGGTTCTATTTGTGTTCATCAGTTTATGTTGTTCATTATATTCCACAAATGAGTGAGATCATGTGATATTTATCTTTCTCTTACTGGCTTATTTCGCTTACCATAATGTTCTCCAGTTCCATCCATGCTATTGCAAATGGTAAGAATTTCTTCTTTTTGACAGCATCATAGTATTCCATTGTGTAGATGTACCAAAATTTTCTAATCCACTCATCTGCTGATGGGCACTTAGGCTGTTTCTAAATCTTAGCTATTGTAAATTGTGCTGCTATGAACAGAGGGGTGCATATATCCTTTCTGATTGGTGTTTCTGTTTTCTTGGGATATATTCCTAGAAGTGGGATTACTGGATTAAATGGAAATTCCATTTTTGATGTTTTGAGGAAATGCCATACTGTTCTCCACAGTGGCTGTACCAGTCTGCATTCCCACCAGCAGTGCACAAGGGTTCCTTTTTCTCCGCATCCTCGACAGCACTTGTCGTTTGTTGATTTGTTGATGATAGCCATTCTGACAGGTGTGAGATGGTACCGCATTGTTGTTTTGATTTGCATCTCTCGGATGATTAGTGACATTGAGCATGTTTTCATATGTCTCTTGGCCTTCTGTAGGTCCTCTTCTGAAAGGTGTCTATTTAGATCCTTTGCCCATTTTTTTATTGGATTGTTTATCTTCCTTTTGTTAGGTTGTATGAGTTCCCTATAAATTTTGGAGATTAAAACCTTATCGGAGATAACATTGGCAATTATGTTCTCCCATGTAGTGGGGCTCTTTTGTTGCTTTGTTGATGGTTTCTTTTGCTGTGCCAGAAGCCTTTTATTTTGATGTAGTCCCATTTGTTTATTTTCTCCTTAGTTTCCATTGCTCTGGGAGCTGTAACGGTAAAGATATTGCTACGACATATGTCTGCTATTTTGCTGCCAATGGCTTTTTCTAAGATTTTTATGGTTTCCTGTCTTACGTTTAAGTCCTTTATTCATTTTGAGTTTGCCAAATTCATTTATTAGGTCTAGTAGTTTTTTGATGGAGTCTTTGGGGTTTTCTATGTTTAGTATCATGTCATCTGCAAATAAGGATAGTTTTACTTCTTTTTTTCCAATTTGGATGCCTTTTATTTCTTCTTCTTGTCTTATCACTATGGCTAGCAGTTCCAGTACTATGTCGAACAGGAGTGGTGAGAGTGGGCATCCTTTTCTTGTTCCTGTTCTTAGGGGAAATGGTTTTAGTTTTTGCCCATTGAGTATGATGTTGGCTCTAAGTTTTTCATATAGTGCTTTTATTATGTTGAGGTATGATCTCTCTATTCCCACTTTGCTGAGAGTTTTTATCAGGAAAGGGTGTTGGATTTTGTCAAATGCCTTTTCTGCATCAATTAATAGGATTATGTGATTTTTGTTTTTCAATTTGTTTATGTGATGTATCAAGTTTATTGATTTGCAGATATTGTACCAGCCTTGCATCTCTGGAATAAACCCCACTTGGTCATGGTGTATGATCTTTCTAATGTAATGCTGGATCTGATTTGCTAGAATTTTGTTGAGGATTTTAGCATCTATTGTTCATCAGGGATATTGGTCTGTAATTCTCTTTGTTGTGTCTTTATCTGGTTTTGGGATTAGGGTAACGCTGACTTCATAGAAAGAGCTTGGAAGTGTGCCTGCCTTCCTCTTGAATTTTTTGGAATAGTCTGAGAAGGATAGATTTTAGTTCTTCTTTAAATATTTGCTGAAACTCTCCTGTGAAGCTGTCTGGCCCTCGGCTTTTGTTTGCTGGAAGCTTTTTGATGACTGCTTCAATTTCCTCCTTATTTATCGGTCTGTTGAGATTTTTTTATTCTTCTTGATTGAGCTTTGGAAAGTTGTATTTTTCTAGGAATATATCCATTTCCTCTAGGTTGTTTGGTTTGTTGGAATAGAGTTGTTCATAGTATTTTTTTACAATCCATTGTATTTCTGTGGGGTCTGTTGTTATTTTGCCTGTTCTATTTCTGATTTTGTTTATTTGGGTCCTCTCTCTTTGCTTCTTGTTGAGCCTGGCTAGGGGTTCATCAATCTTTTTTTTTTTTTAATATATTTTATTGATTTTATACAGAGAGGAAGGGAGAGGGATAGAGAGTTAGAAACATTGATGAGAGAGAAACATCGATCAGCTGCCTCCTGCACACCTCCTACTGGGGATGTGCCAGCAACCAAGGTACATGCCCTTGACCGGAATCGAACCTGGGACCCTTGAGTCCACAGGCTGACGCTCTACCCACTGAGCCAAACCGGTTAGGGCTCATCAATCTTGTTTATCCTTTCAAAGAACCAGCTCTTGGTTTCATTGATCTTTTGTATTGTTTTTTCTTTTTTTGGACTCTCTGTCATTTATTTCTGCTCTGATCTTTATTATTTCCTTCCTTCTGCTTATTCTAGGCTTTTCTTGTTGCTCTCTTTCTAATTCTTTAAGTTGCAGGGTTAGATAATTTATTATTATTTTTTTCTTGTTTTTTGAATTAGGCCTGTAATGCTACGAACTTCCCTCTCAGGACTGCTTTCACTGTGTCCCATAAGTTTTGGTTTTGTTGTGTTTTCATTGTCATTCGTTTCCAGAACGTTTTTAATTTCTTCTTTGATCTCTTTGGTAACCCAGTCATTTTTTAATAGCATGTTACTCAGCCTCCAAGTGTTTGAATTTTTTTGATTGTTTTTATTGTAGTTGATTTCTAATATTATGCCATTGTGGTCTTAGAAGATGCTTGATATGATTTCAATCTTCATGAATTTGGAGAGACTTTGCCCATGTTCCAATATGTGATCTATTTTTGAAAATGCCCCATGTGCACTTAAGAAGAATGTATATTCTGTAGCTTTGGGGTGAAATGTTCTGAAGATGTCAACGAAGTCCTTCTGAACTAGTGAGTCATTTAGGATAGCTGTTTCTTTGCTGGTTTTTTGTCTAGAGTATTTATCCAGTGATGTCAGTGGAGTATTAAAGTCCCCTACTATGATCGTATTGCTGTCAATCTCTCCCTTTGTTATCTTCCAGAAGAATTTTTATGTATTTGGGTGCTGCTGCATTGGGTGCATATATGTTTACCAGAGTTATATCCTCTGGTTGTATTGATCCCGTTAGTATTATGAAGTGGCCTTCCTTATCTCTTGTTATGGCCTTCACTTTGAGGTCTATTTTGTCATATATAAGTATTGCTACCCAGCTTTTTTTTCATTTCCATTTGCCTGAAAGATATTTTTCCATCCCTTCACTTTCAGTCTGTGTGAGTCCCTTGTTCTGAGGTGGGTCTCTTGTAGACAGGAAATATATAGGTCATGTTTTCTTATCCATTCAGCCACTCGATGTCTTTTGATTGCAGCTTTTAGTTCATTTATGTTTAAAGTTATTACTGACTAGAGGCCCCGGTGCACAGCTTCGTGCACCGGTGGGGTCCCTCAGCCATGCCTGTGCCCTCTTGCAATCTGGGACCCCTCGGGGGATGTAATAG